GTGTACTTAATGCCACGTTATCGAGGAGGGGGTGAACGTATTCAATAAAGCCGATTTCACGCGCGATTCTTCGTATCAGACGCGCTCAACAATAACTGCGTCACATACGCATATGACTGTTCGCTTGGAATAGTATCGACAGCGATGGAAAATATACACGTACACATAGGCAAAGTTGTTATGGGATAAGAGACATAAGTCCATGGCGTCATATGCTCATAACTGCCCCCTATCAGAATAATATTATTACTTGGGCCACCCCACGATTATCCTTGTGACGCGAGACGTTCGCTCCTCGCTTTGTCCCTTTTCTGATATTCTGCAAAATTGTTATGTTACGCGAGAAGCGTGTCGAATCGAAAGCTACTTTATTTCGTATCCTGTTCCCGAAGTTTCCGTTTCTTTACGCCATCATCCCTTTTTTTTCGTTCAACCGGATTTTGAAGCTTTCGTCCTTCGTGAATAGGAAAACGCGCAAGTTTTCGCATCGCGGGCAAATCGTCGGCTTATCGCCGCCACTTTACATGTTAACGGGAAGAATTTTGATCTTGGTCGGACAACTCATCGGTTGTAGAACTTACCGCTTAAATATCAATTTGTACGAGGCGGTTGCCTGATTAGCATTAGCGTGGGCGAGAGGAGCGCAAAGAAGTTTCGGGCACGGCAGCAGGAAAGTTCAAAGATGCAAATTGGGGTAATATCGCGGTACCGGCAAGTGTAGGGAATTCGTAGTTTCCATCTCGTTGACACCCGCCCCCTTCCTATCCTTGGTACATTAATTGCAGGATTCATTAAGTCGCGCTATTAACGAACTAATTGGTATTATGAGAGAAAAGAAAGAAGGAATAGTTTGTACTTTTGCGTCTACGACTACGTTAACTGTGAGGTTCTACTTAACTACGTTAACTACTTAAGAAGCTAGTAAAGAAATACTTCCTATTTTTAAATTCGTTAAAAACGATTGGAATTCGCCTATCCTCATAAACGTAAGAGGTGAACGATCAAAATGTACGAATGGAGGAAGTTATTATCTTCAAAGAATCGTAAAAAGGGGGACGTGGTGAAAAAAAGGCAAGGAAAGAGAGAAAGGGGTGAACAATTCGCGCCCAAAAACCGTATTATTCGCCCATTTTGAAACTTTGATATCCCATTCCGAGGTGGTTGGATGAATGAATAATTATCTGCCGCTGGTACAAAACGAATCTTTTTCCCGGGAATATCCCTCTTTCCCCGGAGACACTTTGCAGGAGGTTGCACACCACTCGCCGAATCCACCTCCAATTTATATAAGCCGTGGCAACCTCAACCCCGGAACTCTTATAATAATTCCACGATTCCCCACCCTTGAGAAAGCCGCGCGCGCGATGTTCATTTCATTATTTTTTTTCCTTCTTCACCGCCTTTGGTCCCTCTTCCTCGAGCATCGCCAACGTCGTATACCCTTCGTCGCGTCTCGTCACCGCCGCAGCCCCTCTCTTTCCCTCATCTACCACCCCCGTGAGCCCCTTTTGCACACGAGGCAACCCACCACCATCCACGCTGAGAGGGTGATAAGTCGTGACGTCGACGAGGTAGAGGTGATTCCGAAGGGTAGGCGTGGCCGTGGCATCCCACCCTCCGCAAAGGGGTGCGAGGGGTCGAATCGAGAGGAAAGGGTGGCTCGCGGTACGCTCTCGTTGGCTGTACTACCCTCCACCACCACGTGGCGCGGGCAACGCTGCTGGTGGACGCCACTATAGAGGCTGGAAAATCGTGTAAGAAAAAGCCGGAGAACCATCGCCGATGGAACCACCCCTCCTGTTTTTAGGGCCTTTCTACGCGACGACGATTCTACTTAAGCTCCCAAATATGTTCCCGACTACCAACCTTTCTAAACCACCCACCCTTGTTACCTTCTCTCTCTACGCCAGCGTAGCTCGTTTACTTCTTTTCTACCCGACTATTGTTATTTTCGTGTGTTTCGATGACTCGTTGGAGGAGTACGTGCGCCAACGGGATATCGCACGGGGTAGTTCGCGTGCCCGTCTCCGACACGATCGATCAAGATTTAGTGTAGTTCGCGTACGCTGTCTCTGTTTCTTCGACGCGGAAGCGGTCAACGTACACGGACAACGTCCGATTCCGGGGATCGTTGTGCTCATTAATTTGATTAACCCTGCCGACATTTCCGCCGGACGAACGCGACGACTTCTGTGTGTGTGTCGCGTGGCTGGATGCGTATACGGACGAAAATCAGATTTCGGACAATCGAATGCCGATACTTACGTGATTTCGTATCAAGGCTATTATTGAACAAAAAACTCAATTCCTACGAAGAATTAAATTTCCGTTTAATGTTTTGCGATTTCTATTTAAGATCTGTAAGGAAAAGTAAAAGAAAAGTGTTAATGGAGATAAGCAGCCGAGTTGGTTCGGCCGGCAGATAGATCGTGGACGATCGCCAAGTCGGTTGATTATTATTAATAGTATTATTATTATTATTATTATTATTATTATTATTATTATTATAACGGTTATAATCATACACCCAGGCAGCGTAATCGTTATAATCGTTATAGCGGCGGTTTAAAGCAGGAGAAAAGTGGCCGGCGAAGCAATTATACCTACAAGAAAATCACATTGGGCGAAACGATCTCGTACAACACGTACGTTCACGCGCGCGCACGCTGCCGCGTATGTACAGCATCAGTGTGTTACCAGCAATAGACGGGCCACGGTACCTAACCACGCCGATAAAACGGCACACGTACATCCGCGGCGTCGATAGTAGTGAGAGATAATAATGTTGATAAGGGTGTAGAGAGAACCGCTCGGCAACCCCTACTGGCTCCGGTGGCTAAACCGAACGAATATAAGAGCGAAAAGGACATAGCAAAACTGTGCGCGCAGTTGTGTAGCGCGTATGTATGTGTATCTGGAAGGGGCGAGAAGAAGAAGGATACAGAGGGTGAGAGCAAGCAAGAGGGAGTAAGAACGGGGTGAAAGAAAGAGAGAGGGAGAGAGAGAGAAAACACGCGTGGTAGTCAGAGGGGTGAGTAGGCGTGGCTATGGACTACCCTCGAAGCAGCCGATTGGACGGACCGTTGGTCTGCTTCGTCAAATAAAATCCAATCGTTAGGACCAAAGGAATGCGAGTCTCCTAGCTTTTTTCCTCCCTTGCCACTTGGCAAGCCACCCCTGCCTCTGTACTGTGCACCGTGGCCTTCCCACTCCATTCCTTCTTCTCCGGAGCTCCGTCCCTTTCCCGCCTTCTCCGTCTCCCTTCCGTTACCTTTAAAG